GGGGCACGGGGGGGGGAGCTCCGGCTTCCAACGAGACCTAACCAGCTTGTTCCTTTTCTCTCCTTTGTCAGCGGTTCGAGGATGCCAGGCGACATGACGTCCACTTATGGGCAGACCCCCATGTATGGCTCCCAGACCCCCATGTATGGCTCAGGGTCCTGCACGCCCATGTACAGCTCCCAGACTCCCTTGCACGATGGTGAGTAGGAGGAGTGGCAGGAAGGGCACCTTTCTGCTGCTGACAAGAGAGCTTTGAGTGTAACGTTTTTTCAGTTCTTCACGGAACAGTTTTTCCTGACTGACTGAAAGAAAACAGCAAAACCTCGGGTGGCCTGGATGGCTAGATAGTCTGTTGGCAGCCTATGTGGGCTTCCCAGCCTGCCAGCTCCTCACCTTTCCCGACAAAGAGCAAAATCTCAATCCTTCTGCACAGTGATAGTTGAAGGAGGAGACACAGGGTGACGGAAGAGGACCAGCAGGATTTGGGCTGCTTCAGTGTGGTGTTAATGGAAAGCCAGTCCTCTTTCTTTCCTTGGTGTTAAGCCTCAGTGTGGTGGCTGTCTTTCAGGAAACCGGACCCCGCACTATGGCTCTCGAACCCCATTGCACGACGGGAGCCGGACCCCTGCACAGAGCGGGGCGTGGGACCCCAACAACCCCAACACGCCGTCCAGGTGCGTCCCTCGCACGGGAAGGAGAAGAGGGGGCAGGTCCGGGACAAGGAGAGAGACCAGGAATCTCTCCAGGCCAGGGGTGTGACTTTCTCTCTCTCCTCCCCTCTTTCTCTCCTTCTCTCCCTCTCCCTCTCTGCCTCCTACACAGGACCGATGAAGAGTTCGACTATGGTTTTGATGATGAACCCACTCCCTCACCCCAAGGCTACGGAGGAACCCCCAACCCACAGACCCCTGGCTATCCGGACCCCTCTTCCCCACAGGTCAACCCACCGTACAACCCTCAGACCCCTGGCACTCCAGCCATGTGAGTACTGTGGGGGGAGGAGACAAGACCAGGAACAGAGAGTTCATAACCTCTTTCTCTTTGGTGCCCTTACAGAAATCTTTTTTCTCCTCTAGAATCTTTTTTTTAAAATCTCTTTTAAAAAGATTTTTTTCAAAGGTCTCTTGGTTGCTCATGTCTTGAGCATATCTGGTCTGCTTGGGTTCTGAAACCTGTGCCTGGTTAACTTGTGGGTCGGAGATTGTCTCCAGGAGGAGCCTGGGAAGGAGCCTGCCTGAGGCCCTGGGAATGATGGCTAGAGCCGGCCATACTGGACCCGGGGGGTCTGGTTTGGGAGAAGGCAGCTTCTGGTACTCCTCAAATGGCAAGAAATGGGCAAGGGCCTCCCTCAGAGAGAGATCTGATGATCTCAGAGAACATTCTCTGGCAGCCACCCTGTGCTTAGATCAGCCCGTCTGACTCTCTCTTACCGTACTTGGTCTGAGGAGCGGGTGGGTGACGGGGCTCCCGCAGATGTTCTTGCTGGCCACAAACGACTCTCTTTTGCTGCAGGTACAACACAGACCAGTTCTCTCCGTATGCCGTTCCGTCCCCTCAGGGCTCCTACCAGCCAAGTCCCAGCCCTCAGAGTTTCCATCAAGTGGCACCCAGTCCTGTCGGCTATCAGAACACCCACTCGCCAGCCAGCTACCATCCAACACCATCGCCCATGGCGTACCAGGTGCCGTAAGATGTAGTTGAAAGTGAAACACACACCTGCGTCCCAAAGTGTGAAGTCCTGGAAAAGCTTCTCTTAACCCTCTTAAGTGCTTGTGGTTGCCCTGGAGAAGCCGTAGGCCTTTTGTGGAGTGGAGCGGGGGATGTTGGTGGCCCCGCTTGAGGATAAGGGCTTTCCTGCCAGCCATAGGTGGAAGTGTGGGAAAGGGGGCAGGATGAGTCCCATAAAGAACTTCAAAATCTCAGCCATGAGGGTGAAATCGCTGTGAGTGGGTCCGGGTGGTCTGGATAGTTTCAGAGCTAGGATAAGCAACCTGAAGGTGTTTCATTACTCAAGAACTGTAGTAAAAGAGACGTGAGGGCCAGCGTTGGAGATACCCTCGCCTTTTATACATTTTAGGGCCTTTCCCCACTGCTGCTCATTTTAAAAATCCCAAAGCAGTTCACAATCAAAACGAGTACTGTTGAGTCAGTAGCAGAGGGAATCCCTCCGCTGCAGAAAAAGGTGCCATGGTGACAGCAGAACTTTTCTGCTCTCATGTCTTTGGGATCAGACAAGATCAATCAGACAAGGGCGCGTGGGAGGGAACTCATCTTCATCGTCTAATGCTTTGCTTCCAGGAATGTATAGTTTGCTCCCAACAGCGTAAAGTGAACGTCCAACTTGGGGAGCCTCTCGGATCTCAAGGATGAGGCTGTTTCACAGTCACTGCCACCACAGAAGAGGCACTCTTGCCCTGAGGCATAGGGTGCAAGGTCTAGAGAGTTTCACAAGGTTTAAAGAACCTTGTCTGGGAAAAAAGAGGAATGCCTGTGGATGCAGGACCAACCACAGCAAGCCCTGGCAGCCGGTGGCATCCCCAGTCTTCCTCCCTCCCTCTCTTTCTTTCTCTCCCCAGGCTAGCCCAAGCCCCAGCCCAGTGGGCTACAGCCCTATGACCCCAGGTGCTCCTTCCCCTGGAGGCTACAATCCGCACACTCCTGGTTCTGGGATCGAGCAGAGCTCCAGCGACTGGGTCACCACTGACATCCAGGTCAAAGTGCGTGACACGTACTTGGACAGCCAAGTTGTGGGGCAGACGGGTGTCATCCGCAGTGTGACGGTAGGTGGATGGGCTGCTTCACGGGGCTTGACCAGATCGGGGGAGCTGGGCATTGAGTAAGAGACTGCCTGGCAGTAAAGAAGGTGGGCAGAGGGTGGCACCAGTAAGGGCAAAGGCGGCGTGGCAGCTGAGGGCCCAGAAAACAGCCGCCCCTCCCCCACGCTGCCATCCCTTCCTAATTAGAAGTTGTTCTTGGGTGACTCCTGTCAGACACCCCCGGGCAATCCCTCAGAGCGAGGTGCAAGAGGGAGCCAGGGCAAGAAGACTTCTTCCAAGGTCTCTTCCTTCTAGAAGAAAAAAAGGCTCTACAGCTGGACTCGCCACCCCAAAGCACACACACACACCCCAAAACATTCACACACATGGTGGGGTGGGGGGATAGAGAGAGCCTCTTAGTTTGCCCCAGAATGAGGCAGGCCTTGCTGAGGCCCATGTCTGCAGTGGCTCACTTTGGCTGTTCTCCCTCCCCTTCTCTCTCTCTCGCTCTCTCTCTCCACGGCCCTGGCAGGGTGGGATGTGTTCCGTCTACCTAAAGGACAGTGAGAAGGTGGTCAGCATTTCGAGTGAGCACCTGGAGCCTGTCACGCCCACCAAGAACAATAAGGTATGTGGATGGGAGGAAGGGACGAGGGTTTGTTACACCCGACAGCCCTTTCCTGTGGAAAAGCCTCACAGAATGTGAGTTTCTCTGCTCTTTTCTATGGGGCAAGGTGACACAGGAGTCCGCAGAGGCCCCACCAGCTGCTCACTTGCAAGCTTTCTCCTAAGGGTGGTGCCAGCAGTGGCACCTTGCCTTGTTGGGAGCAGGTGGGCTCCTGGCATGGAGAGGAAGGGAAATTGGGGGCCTGAAGGAGGAGGAGGAGCCAGGGATGGGGGCACTTGGGTGGGTCCCTGATGGGCTTTTTCTCAGCTTTCGGTTCAGTCAAGGTCTGATTTCTCATCTGTTTTGTTTCTCCATCCATCACTAGATTGGCAGTTATGAATTTTAATATATAGTTTTCTAAGCTACTTCAACGTTGCTGCTAATAACAAAACATTATATTGCCTATTGAAGGAAACGAGGGGGGAGGACGCTGTATGTGGTTTAGGACAACCCCCACCTGCCACAGAGCCAGGGGCCTGCTTTCTTTCCTCCAGCCTGCCTGCCAGCCAGTGAGCCAGCCAGCCACCACCCAATGATAACCTGCAGGGGAGCCTAGCTCGAACTGCCTGCGGTCTGGCCTGTGCCTCGCCTCCCACGGCTTCTCCCCACGCAGCACTCTGTGGCCGAAGCAGTTCGGACTCCAGCCCCTCGGTCACCTTGCGCTTTCCCCCGTCTTGCAGGTCAAGGTCATCTTGGGAGAGGACCGCGAGGCGACAGGTGTCCTGCTGAGCATCGACGGGGAGGATGGCATTGTCCGCATGGACTTGGAAGAACAGCTCAAGATCCTCAACCTGCGTTTCCTTGGCAAGCTGCTGGAGGCCTAGCGGGATGGAAGTTCCTTTGTGTGTTTGCGGCATGAGTGGTTCCCTGTTTTGTATTTTACCATAGTGCCTGCAGAGCCCCAAACCCATGTCCTTGTACAGACCAACTCCTGATGAAGTTTTATTTTTGTGTGTGTGTGTGTGTTTGTATGTATGTATGTGCGCGTGTGCATCATCCATCTCTGCTTCTTTCCCCAGCCCAGAAGGTGACTTTGCCTTTTGGGAGGTATGCCAGGGGAGGGGGGACCATACCATTGTGTGTAAAGTGACCAGCAAAAGAAGACGCAGTGAGTCCAGCACACCTGTATTCCCTTCTCTCCTGTAGCACTTTATGCCCCGTGGAGCTGGTAGCTTGCTTTAATAAAAATCTTTCCATAGGCCCTGCGTGCAGTGGATGTTGTGTCTTCCTGGAAAGGTTCGTCGCCCACTCCAAGACAGCCCTCAGGGGGCGGGATGGTATCCTCTCTGGCCACTGAGCCCCCCCCCCCGTCTTTGATGCCCGCTCTTTCCGAACCCGACAGCAGAAGGTGCGGGAGGCACCCCTTTGCGAGCCGCCAGCATGTCTGCAGCGCTGGTGCAAGAGAATGAGCGGGTTTCACGAAGCGGTGGCGGCGGGCGGGCGGCTCTTCGGCCTTTCTGCGACGACGAGCAAGCGAGCGCCCTTCCGGAAGGCAGCCTGCGGGGCTCCCCTCCCCTCCCGACCGCCCCACGAGGTCGCCCAGCCGGAGAGAGGCGGGGGCCTCGCCAGCCCTCCTACGGCGAAGGTGGCTTTTGGAAGAGCGACCGGGGCCCTCGTTGGTGGCGCGCCAGCCGTGGGCCATTCGCCGCCCAGCCGAGCCCCTTTCCCGCCCAGGAGGACCCGCCGCCGGGCGCCCCTTGACGGCTTCCTCCACGTGGCGCGCACGTGTCCAGCCGCCGCCCCTTTAACCTTGGGCGCCATCCTCTTTCCCGCACAGGACGGGCCGGCCGCGCCCACTCTGCCTTCCAGCCAATAAGCGGCACGCTCCGAAGAAAATAAACCAACAGCCTGCAGGCGCCCTGACGTTGCAGCTGCCGTTGGTTAAAAGCTGAGCAGTGGGCGGGGAAAGTCGGCGATTGGTCAGCTCCTCATTCTCCGGTTGGAGGAGAAGCGGAATAGGCCGGGAGAGCCCAGCAGCCGTGAGCGGCAAGGCGCCTGCGCGGTGTACTGGTCCCTGCCGATTGGCCTGGGGCCCTTCTTTCCCCTCTGACCTTCCGCCTGCTCTTTCCTCTCTCGCCCTCTGATTGGGCCGGGCGCGCCCTTGCGCACTGCAAAGAAAGATGGCCGGGGTTGTCGCTGGAGCGGCCGCGCGCGCCTTCTCTGTGTCGGCGCTGGCGGGAG